GTATAATCGCAGCCTTTGCGGTTAGAAAATTGCACTTGATCATGTCGCGATATTATCGCAAATGCGATATATCGTTCAGCCCTAGTTTTCAGGGAACTAAATCCTTTCGCAGACTACAAACACCTAATTTAAAGCTAACCACAACACTTATTTGAAAGATCACCACTAATAATCACATCCTCTTCTTTCTTGCACCCTGCGTAAATTTGTATATTTAACTCAAGGTCTTCCTATGTAGGGCAAAATTTATCTAAATGACTATTTTTTGTGAATATCAAACTCTTTCAAAGGAAAAGAAGCTAGTACAACTCTAAAAGACAGCCAAGTCCAGTAATATAATGACACTCTGAGCTATAATTAGTATTCTAATTAGACTAGTACAAGTAAGAGAAACTTTTTGAAATTTTCACTATATTGTGGGCCTGCTGTCATGCATTTGTTACTAAAAGCCCAATTACGGAAATGTATACATTTTCTGTCATAGTGTATTTTAATGCAGTGTTTTCAGTATATACCAAAAGACAATAGAAAAAGCTCGAGTACAATTCAAAATCTTAACCAAGGGAGATAAATGAAGACATCTTTTGCAAATGTAACAAATTACTGTGTACATCAAGACAAAAAAATCTGTGTACACCAAAAGTAGATAAGAGTAACATGCAATTATGGACTTATGGATGTGAAATATTGTATTTACTCAACACACAATCTATGGTTTTCCCTACATATCATCAGATTATCTTTGGGCACTGGATAGGAAGCCTGCCTTGTCAAACCCTGCTTACTAAATGCAAAATGGAAGTCTTCATCAACAGAGAATGATACCATGTTGCCATTACGCAAACTGGAGCCATTTTTGAAGATTACAGATTACACTCCCATGCTTACTTTGAGACTGGTTTCTGTCAGAACAATCACACCACTAAAACCTAAATGACAATTATCTCTTTTTCTGAATGGCAAACTGAAGGTTATACCACGTGAGGGAAAGATGTGACACTTTCACTTATGCTATCATGTCTGTTTGACTGGAGTCAACACTACACTATATAAATGGATGATATATAAAAATGCAAGATGTGCAAGTAGACCGGATGACACACAGATGGATAGTGTGAGGGAGACCAAGGGAGGGAGGAAACTGCAAAGACTGAGACTACCAAGTTTAACATGTATTGCTAGCTCAGTGCCTCAGCTCTCCAATTCAGATCCAGTAAAATCGACATGATTAATGCAACAATCCTATTTCGACATGTTTTACATCTATAAAAGTTCAGATTCAAAAGTATAGAACCAAATTTATGTGGTTTCAAGTATAATTTTTAGTTACCGATTAATCTAAAGCTTTTATTCAAGCTTTGTGCTGACTAATTGATTAACCAGCATACCTTTAAATATCCATTTAAGCACAACATCAGCAAACATCCAGTTTGTTCGTGACATTTATGTCAGTTTGGTCAGAATATGAATAATGAGCAAAATAATTAAGCTATCACCCAACACTGGTGACACCCAGCAGCCTTGAAGGGTGATCCACAATCACTTTTAGGCTTTAAAAAAAAAAAAAAACCTTGAACATGGCATTGAAAACAATATCCCTGCATACATCATGATGCAAAACGGTGTGAGTGATTGAAATTGGGTTTGACTTTGACTTAACACTAAAGCAAATCTTAAAGTCTTTCCGTATTTGAACTCGCTTGGTTGAGAATTCACGGGTGAAAAACAAAAGCATAAACCATGACCTGACATCAGGACGGTCTCACCATGGACATTTGAGTCTAAAGTATAAGTAAAGTAGTAGAGCTAGATGTGAAGGAGTTATAATGGTCCATAACTGAGATATGCATATTTGCACAAAGAATGTTTTATGGTACATCCAATTTTTCAGCCTAAGACATTAAACAAACAAAAAAAGAGATACCTGAGGTAATTTCAAGTCTGTCTAACAGGCTCTGAATCCATTGTTAATCACAGCTAAGCACACAGTGGTGTAGACTCAAACAGTGCCTATACGGTGATTTACTACTAACTAGTACCTAAAAGGAATGCAACAATATAAGCTGAACACTGGTAGGCAGCTTTGTGGACTTAGATTAGCCTATTGGAAAATGAGATGTGATGATGATTCATGTGTTATGTAACGATAGAGAAGCTGAATTTTTTTTTTTTTAACATTCTTGTATTCATGGCACAATTTATATTTTATTTATCCATAAAATAAAAGTATAAATGGTTTTGGCACTGGCTAGTGATCACAATAGTACTAATTATAAAATATCACCATTGGGCCACAATCTTATATTGGATGGATTCCTGCCAAATATCTTAAGAAATAAAACACGGCTAGCAGCACTATGTAAATATTTCTGCTCCACATGAACAAAGCAAAAAGAACATCAACCATAAGGTCAAACGACAGATTTGCATCCAGGCACTGACAGTTACTCATTTGATCAAACGAGTTCAGCTTCATCTGGTTTTTCAGTAATTGGACTAAGAAAGATATAAGATGTTTCTCACAGATAATCCAAACTTAAACACACTCATAATAGTGGTAACCATTAGCTGGTATAATTAGAAAATTAAGATTACTTCATGAGTATAATTAAACGGACAGCTAAAGAGTTTGACCAAGTCAAAAGTAAAAGAAATTCTTGCAGTGATTCTAACATGCATTTGTTCAGAAACTCCATATGCATCATGAATGAAACAGCATATGCAGGTCATGCATTAGTGATATGTGCTGAAGATCCCTTTGTGTTTGTCACATAACATAACCTGGTGAGTCTGAGAATTACAGTACAGTACATTAATTAAAAGCTATGGTGTCAGTTTTTAAAGATGGACCGAAGAACAAGCACAAAAAATACATTCACCTTGCAGCTGACTGTGAAATTTGTGAGTTCAATGAATTAAATGTTCAACACATTTGAAAGAGAAAGATGCTAGTTACTAAATACTAGTTAATTCACAATGCAATTTGCCAATTTTGTATTGCTCTGTTTGCTTCTACAACCAAAAGGACTTAATAAGCAAGTCAAAAATCATTCAATAATAATTTCATTGTAACTCTAGGCACAAAAGGTCTTTGCATAGCTTTGTGAAGCTCAGCCTCCATACAACCCCATGTGATAGGCCTACATATTAACTCATCAATGTCTGTGACATGAATTAACTTCTTTATGAATTAAGAATGTAGTAACAGGGAATGCTGCGCTGTACTGAAAATGTTAATCATCTTTGGTTTGACAGATTTATCAGACACAAATTACAGTCTGACCAAACCATAGCATTTACCTGCTATGAACAAGAACAGCAGTACCATACTACTACACTGCTAATCTCTTAAGACATGCAATTAGGATCAGAGTCTGAACAGCAAGAAAAAGTAACATCAGGAACCTGGTGTTCAAATATCCACTCAGCTAACCTGTGACTGAGCCAATGAACATAACGTCTGACCCCCTTTTTACAACTCAGTTCTACTGATCAAAGCTTAAAATGTCTTTCTTGACACCAAATTATTAGTCTCATGTGACACCCAAAGCCTTTAGTCATTGGATAACAGAGATAATTGTTTAATAAAGACTAAATACAGACTTGGGTGGATCAGAGTTCCCATTTGAAGCTTGATTTAGACACGAAAAGTCTGTTTTATTCATTACATCTTGAAAGTCAGGAGCACTTTAGACTGACCCATAGGCTTCCTGTTTCCTCCACCTGACCTGAAAGCAGTTTTATTGGCATTATAGTAAAGGTGTGGCCATTTAAAGCATGAAGTACGTACAATCCAGGTAATACGTGGGGGTGCACAAAAAGGAAGAACTTACTAATAGCATAAAAATCTTTAATAGCAGCTCCGTTGCGATCAAGGTGTGCCTCGGAGATAAAAAGAAAGAGTACTGAATAGAAAAGGAGGCTCCGTGAATTCTTGAGTCACAGTTAACTTTGGCAAAGTCATTCAGCACGGGCGCTGGATTGCTATCTAACATACCACATGATCATTTGTACAACCAGCCAACGTGATATCCCCTTAAGGTCAAATAATCACTTTCAAATTAACACGACGGTACATATAATCAGGGCGCAGAAAAATAAGGCGGGTGTAGAAGTTTTAATATTTTTTTGCGCCGTATGGTGATTTGAAGAAATCGATTGAGCAGTGTCGCAACAGGCGACAATAAGGATAACTATTTCATTTCTGAATCAGACGATTACAAGGCACTGATAGTGACGATTAATACCAACGACAGCAATAGCCACTCCGAGAAAATGAACACTTTTGCTGTGAATGGGGCAAATACTTATGAGAAATGGTAAACACATATTTCCGTTCATCACTACGACCTATTAGCATTATTTATATGCTGTATTTCTGTATTTCAGACTTAAAGAAGCGAACGAGGGTGGGTAAGCAAAGTGTTAGCAAGAATGCTTGATGCTACTAGCCAAGACAAACGTCATCCACCCTGTCAAGCTAGTTAGCGTAGCACCAAACGCTAACTTAGCTTGCTAGCAATCTCAAACTTGTGTTGAGAGTCTCTGAAGCGACAGCCAGTCTGGCAGTTATTGCGACCGAAAGATGAACTTGATCAAACAATTTAACCATTCATTGATTCACATACCTGCAGGTGCTCCTGAAAGCGAATAGGCAGGATCTGAGCCATGGCGGTTCCTCTCTCACTCTCCTCCGGTCTCGTCTAATGCTAACAAACTACGGCTGCTTCTCTCAGATCCTAGCCGGACAGCCAGGAAGTCTCTAGTCTAAAGTCCAATTGTAAGCGAATTCTACGCCTTATTTAAAACGCGCTGTCGGTGTGACTGTACTTTATTTGTTTTTTATTCCTTCCCTTAACTGTTTACTTGCGGTCTTCCCCGGCTAACGACTGTCACTACACCGACTCCCTGGACCTGCAATGGCGGTGGAGGTTGGTCAGCAGAGAAAACATCCCGGAAATGGAAGTGCACTCAATAAGGCGGATGGATACGTATTTCGACTTTTAAAAAGTGAACTGTGCTTAGTATGTTGCCGTTTGTTTGAAACATTTATAAAATTTTAATTGTTCTTTAAAATATCAAAATAAGACAATGAACTTCAGCATAAAAATATATGAGAACAAACGTAAAAGTGGGACTACTTCTTTCTGTTCGCCCTTTGATTTTTGCCACATCATTCGTCTTTCTAAATTAACGTCATTCCTACGCGGTAGCTGTGCACTTGTTCCTCTCAGCCAATCCGATCACTCGGTACTCAAACGAGTAATTCAACTTTATTCTAATTACGGGACAGCGCTAAATTACTTTAAATTACGATTCAAATGCGCAGAGGAGATTCTTCCCTTATCATAATATATATTTTCTTGATCCTTAACAAGAACTTACTGGTCAGTACGCAGTGTACACAGCATGGTTCACATTAAAGGACCAAGTTTTCACTACAGTGCCTATTGATACAGGCCATTGTGTTTGTGTTGTTTAATTTCAGCCTTGGGGTTTGGGGGGACTTGTTCTGGTGAATTTTTGAAATCGCCCCTGCATTAATTTATCAAGAAAATGTCTTTAATTGTAAAAGTATACTTAACACGTCAACACATTCCTCAGTAGTTTTACAGCTTTTTATTTATTTATTTATGTATTTATTTATTAACTTTGTGTGTCCCACATATTTGTAAGGCTGTGTCCCCTTGTGTTCTCCCTGAAATCTATACCTATGAATTCACATGACGACTAGAATCTATTTTCTATACTTTGGCAGTCAAAGGAATTATAATGTGTGAAATATTATGGTTAGAAAGTCTAATAGCAGAAATTTTCTGTTTTGTTCAGATGCATGCAATACGTGTTGGGTGGAGTGTGCAGGCATTTTAGTGAGTATTCATTTCCCTTTTTTACATCCACAATTTCTGTTGGCAGAGGATGTAACCTTATTGCTCAACATAAAACTGAATTATGGGAAAGCCATCTCTTAAGTGAGCTGACCTTTCAGCAGAAATGTTATTCTGTCGAGCCAGCAATTATAGCTTCTGAGGAAACAGACATCGCAAGAAAACGACTAGATCTGCATGTATTAGTCAATCATGTGTCAAGATGCCTAGCTGTGGTACCATCCTCCAAGATTACTGTGCATAAAATGTGTTATAGGGGGATTAAATTTGAGGTGGTGAACATCTGATCAGATTATTGTTGTTCTTCCCTGCAGATGGGAACTGAACAACAACAGAGACTAAGCCAGTTCTGCACATTAAAAAACAAACAAACAGGATTCAGTGTTTATACGAAAGATGATGATTCATAGCATGACTAACGGATATCTATTCATCCATCCGCTTCACCTTTTCAGGGTCGCAGGGGGTGCTGGGCGAGAGGCAGGGTACACCCTGGACAGGTCGCCAGTCTGTCACAGGGCTAACAGACACAGACAACCATTCGCGCTCACATTCACGCGCACATTCACACCTATGGGCAATTTGGATTAATCAATTAACTGCATGTCTTTGGATGGTGGGAGGAAGCCGGAGTACCTGGAAGGAACCCACGCAAACACAGGGAGAACATGCAAACTCCACACAGAAAGACCCCGGCCTGATGGTGGAATTGAACTCCACCACTTGCTGTGCGGCAAGAAGGTCTAACCACGGTGCCACCGTGCTGCCCTGATTAATGGATATCTAATAAAATAAAATAAAGATAACTGAGTCAGAATGGCCAACTCTTCTTATATGTTCTTATGTATCGACACCCTTCATTGGTTAGATCCCACCCATCTAAGCTCCTTTACTTTTATCTTATCTGATCACATTTGTTCTTTACTACAACATAGATGGATTTAGACTTTATTAATCTCACACTTGTTAGATGCACTGTATTAGACATACAGTAGAAAACAATAAATGAATGAGGAAAAAGTAAAACTGCCAAAAATGTGCTAAAATACACAGAAAATACACAGAAATGTCACAAAGACTTCATTTTATACTGCATCAAGGGCATTTTGACCCATATTTATTTTTTTAGCTGTTTCAACACTGATTTATCCTCTGTGCATATTGTACAGTCTGGCTGCTGTTGGGATGAAGGTTTTTGGCCACAAACATAAACACATCTGCACGAATGCACACAGTGTGAAAACCAGCCTGACTGTCACTCTTGACTCACATGAAGCACATATGAAGCAAGTTCAGTGGAGGCTGCTGAGATGCAGAGGACAATGAGATTTTCAATTTAAGTTTTTCCAGAAATGAACTGATGAATTTTGTTTGTCCAAGTCTTATGAAAAGAACTCATCTACTTATAATGTGTGCCTGCATCTGGAACAGACCATCTATGGCGTTTGTTTACTTCTCTATAGTTTCAGGGGAGAGCGTAGTAGAGAGTGTCCTGAATAGACCATTCAGGCTGCTGTTGCCATGGATTCACAGGGCGAGGAAACCCAAGACAGAGACACCATGTGTGTTACGATGAAAGAGTGGCTTTGGGACTATCAGCACGTCACACTGGCCTGCTGACACTGAAAGTATAGCTGCAGATTTCATGCAAATTGAGGGGCAGCACTGGTAGTTATGCCACCCTTGCCCTGGTCTTTCATTCTGATTGTCTTATAACAGAAGCGGCTTCCATGTAGCTCAGTGAAAGGAGCAGCCATGCTTGGACTCAGGGATATGTGTAACTGGAAGCAACTTACAAAAAGGTGACTGTCTCCTTTACCCATTTCTTGACCGCTAGTACACCCCAGTGCTTTGGCAAGCATTTAGCCACAGATGGGAGCTCCATGTCTTCCTGTGGCTGGGAGGATCCCATCAGGAATGACTGAGAGGGACTGACACTGGGATCCGGAACTGACATTGAAAAGCTCCTCTTCTGTTTCTTTCCCCTTTCCTCTTTTCCTTCATCTGCCTGTGTCACTAAAACAGCCAGTGGTTAAGGGACACATGCCACGCTGTGTTTTTGTGTTCATAATTTAGCAGTTTCTAGTTTATTCCACACACACACACACACACACACACACACACACACACACACACACACACACACACACACACACACACACACACACTAAATAATGCTTGACCATCTTGACCCTTTACATTTCTGCTCATGCACCTCAGTCACATGTACATTGTAGCCTAACCTTTGAACAACAGTTCAAGGGGAAGTTACTAATTGACTGTGTGAGGGCCTTTGCTCCTTTCAAACAGGCAGCAGTATAGTGTGTCACAAGCCACAGATGACAGTCTAAATCAGCACCAGCATTGTCACAACATTTTTGCATGAGGTGAAAGGTGAGAAATAATGAGCCTTTTATTGACTATTTCTGAGATAATTGAATTACAAAAACATGTTTTTCTGCATTTCAATAAAACCTTGAAGGACTGGTTTCACTGGAGGCAGTTATTTGGATTTTGATGCCACCTAGTGGAGCGAGGCTCTAATTAGACCTCTGTGAATGTAAAATTTGAATTGATGGAAGAGTTTTGCCCCAGTTCTCATACTGTAACGAGGCGCATCTTTAGGCATAAGCATATGATCTCTGAACAATCAAAATGCTAAAGTACTCAATAAAAAGGCAGTGAGAAGGACTGGAAATGGAAAATTATTTAAACAGCAGAAAAGTCCGAAGAAATACTTCCATTCCCTGGGTTCCTGGTTAGCTCAGTGGGTTAGCGTGTATATGAAATGGCATCACCAGTCAGGTCCCAGATTCATGCATATAATACATCGCTTGCAGCATTATAATATTTCCCATGTTTAAAGTTGTTACTGGTAGTTTTGCTCTGTCCTGGTGTGTCTTGTTTATCCTGAATTGCAACATACTCTCTGCTAAAAATGAAATAACTTATCATCCTTGTGAGAGTCTCTCCCAGATCACACACCCTGTGGCTACTTTGACTTTGCTTTTTGTTGTGGAAAAAGGCTTTTCACTCCCCTACCAGCTGTATTTCTTTTACAAAGAAGAAACTTTGACTCTTTAAATGTTCCACATAGAGTGCATGTCTCTGAACAACGTATAAAAAGTAACCTAACATCTCTCTCGTGTTCCTTCTTCCTGATGTTGCTGTCATTCAGTATCGCCACATCTATCACTACGGCCGTCT